ATTTAAATAGTTCTTTAAGTATAACACTAAAGCAACCACTTTCTTTATACAAAAAGAACTTGACTTTGGTCAAAATATTTTGTGCATACGGTTATTAGTCCTTACCTATTTATTGAAAATCGCGGAGTAAAATATTGCTTAATATCGATAATTGTCGCTTTGTTCATTGATCACTTTTTGCGTCCACCCTTCTTCGCATATTTCCGCTGAAAGCAATATTTGCACTCCTCCTTACCAAGGTGGAGTTCGACCAAGTGGAGGTTGCCTTTACCAGATCTTCATTTTACACCGCATACTGCAGCACAGACATCGTAAATAGCAGGTCGCCACCGCCTGCTTCATTGACCTCACTATCGCCTTTTCCTCTACCGACAGAGACGCTGTATGGTAAACCTTGCTGGCTTACGGTCTCCCACCAAAGTTGCTTTATTTTATCAACTCTTACTCTAGTACAACATCCGCCCGAGTAAGAACCCTTCGTGAAGAGTCAAATTATTTGCCTCTGACTTGTGGAGTTCGACAAGCTCGCCCTCTCTCCCCAGTTCTCTTTAACTTCTTGATCGCCTGGATAATGTATCAATCCATTCTTCCTGACAGTGGATGTGAAATCAGTCCAGAATTTAGAACACCTGAACTGGAATATACCGATGACATTGGCTCAGTCACTACAGTTAACGCTAGACCGAATCGCCAGCATCATTGCGTCTGTTTGTATGATGGTTGCCTTACGCAGGACGAAGCTTCTAATTACGTGTCTCATCACAGCACAACCTCTGTTTATCAGCGGTCTACCCATTGAAGAAGTTGGCTGTTTCCGCTATTTGGGCTCGAATAATCTAGCCACAAACAGGCCGAAGACGAGATAATGAACCCAAAGGATGCACTTCCTTGAAATAAAGAACCGAATCGCTCAGGTTAGAAATGCATTTATGTTGCAAGCCAGACCACTCTGGTCTCGCTCAGACATCAGTTTACGCACCAAGTTGCTGATATTCAAAGCACCAAACAAACCTGTGTTAGTAGGTACCTGCGAAACATGGCCATTTAGAAAGGCAGACATCCTACCGCTCGACATATTTGATCTTTGGTGTATTCTACGCCTCAGTCTAGGATCATACAACCGATATCACCAATTGTAATGGTTTAGACATGTCCTGCGCAAGCCATTGACTGATCTTTGCAGATTGGTCGTAAGCCCCTGTCGTTGTGCACACTGAAGATACCGACATGGCCGTCAACTGAAGACACTGTTCACCAATTTCA